GACACTCTCACTCTCACTCTCTTTAAGTGTATGCCGCTGCGGCAATCAAAACCTCGACATGAAATAGGTTTTATTGTAATTTTATCACACATAAATATATGATATGGTAAAGTCAATACTTCTCGTCGAAGCTTGACATATGTGAATCTAAGGTTTGTATGTACATACATATGTTTCCAAATACATAAATGAAATGCTTGTAAGTTCACGAAATTCACAGCTCATGAAAAATATTGTAGCGCCAGCTCAGCTCACCCAGTTTTCATTTTATTAGTTTATTACGATTATTATCTTTTAATGACACCGTTGGACAGACAAATGCGGTACATCGCCAAATAGTTGTCGCACTTCACTCCTTATATAATGCAACACGAACGAAAAGGTAAACAAGATGGGAAATAAACGAAGTTATTTAAAAAAAAGAAGGCACATTCAAGTGGCAGTGAAAACGAATAAAAGCGACGCTGTTTTATTATTTGTTTTGATTATAAAAACGTCTGAAACGACTGTAACTTGTGAAGCTATCCATTAAGCGTTGACGATTTTCCAGTTTAAATTGTCGAAACACTAAGCAACGGCAAATCCGTTACAAATCGTAAATCATAAAAAAAATCGTTAACTTTTAGACTTTAAATTATATATGTATATATGTATGTAGTCTTAAAAATGGAAGTAATTAGTAAATAATGATATAAGTTGTAAGGAAGGAATGCAATAAATGTACTTTAATAATTTATTTTAAATATAATTGTAAATATAAAGAGGTTTGGAAATATATTTAGTTATGTAAGAATTTAATGCCAATAAATTTATAATAATTTTTAAAATACTGTTATCTTAGATTTTCTCTAAACATTTCTAAATGTACAATTAAGTGGATGTATTAATTTATATATGTAAATATAAACCACTTTAAACGAGTTTTACTAGTTAGTCTTATACTTAGAGATAATTTTTAATTATTATAATTTAAATGCCATATTCCACTAACTGACATTTCGTTTTCTGAATTGTAGCAGCACAAGTCAACTCCTCAGTCATTGAATTTTCCAAAATAGAGTAGTCTGGTTACTTGCTTTGGAAAAACCTACGTAGTACTATTAGATAGATTGCAAAAAAAATTAGAACGAAATTCGAAATATTGACCAAGTTATACCACCTATACGTGAACATCTCACAGTAGTACGCGCTGAGACGCAAGTTGATTGCAAACGTAATTTTCTTGAAACAATATCGGATCGGATGATGAAAAATTTTTTTATAGCCCGAATGGGCTGAAAATTGAATTTGTTATTCTACTCCCTATTAGCTCTCACAGGAACTAGGATCTTTTGTTTTTTTCGGTAACTCTCCGCTTTATAACCTGTTTTTCGAAGTCAACCATTTTTTTACTTTTCAACGTTATTGTTTTTCCTATCTGCAGCCAGGATGGTAAAGTCACAGAGCAGAGGCTTCGCTTAGTCTCAGAGCTTGTTTTTACAGATATGATCGACCTAGGTATTTATGTATATGTGATCAAAAAAGTATCTGCGGAGAATCAACTATGCTTAACCCTTCTTCTCATCTTATCAACAATGGTTGCGTCATCGAAAATCTTAAATAGTAAAATTTTAAAGCGATAACGGTTTTATTGGCTAGAAATGTTGGATTATGAAATTTGAGATGAATACATTCGAGTTTGTATCGTTTTCCACTAAGTGATTTTAATTTTAATTTATTTTTTATGATTATTAATATACAGTTCACCACGAATGCAATAGAAAAAATAATTTGGTGATGACGTAACCACCGTCACGAATGGTTTTTACAACCCTAGGTTGCCATACTATACCTCGAAAAAACCCATCTTTTACTGAAACATTTTTGAAAATGTCCTGAGGTCAACTTCCTGAACTTTACCATTCATTGAGTATCATACAGATCAAAAAAAGTTTCGGGAGCAGCAATATTGGGAAATCTAAGCTTCCCCCTTTACTACCAGATCTAATCGCATACTTTCCAAGATGACATTAATGTCGCCGAATAGCTTTTTTTCTGTTGGTCTTTATCAATTTGACGTTTAGTCTAAAACAACACTAATGAAGTATAAGTTTCCTCATAATCGAAAGACTTTAAACTTTTACAATTTCAGACTTTATAAGCAACACTTGACGAACACTGTGAACCACTCTGACTACACCCAAATACCGATCGTAAGGCTCGAGTAAACCTTATATGCGATTTTAAGGAGGCTTATCTCACTGTAATTGGCGCAGACTGTGAGATCGTCCTTTTTGTGGGTTGGGCAAAGTATACTTATTTTTTAGATGTCGGGCATGCTTTCATCGGACCATATTTCTTCTATTTCTATCTCCGAGTGTTTCCTTTTAACCGTTTTTGTTTCCGTAGCGGACGTGTGTGTTGTCCTACAGTCCAGTTACCGAGGGAGCAGGAGACAAATTTGAGTAGAAAACCAATCGGCAGTTTGTTGTAGTTGCGGCTTTTTGACGTTGAATCTTCCTTGTGTTAGTTGACAGATATTCTTTGATACACAGAGGCGCTTGCGTATCTTTGCTGCGAGAAGATTGTGATCCGAGTCGATACTGGGTCCTCGAAATGTGCGCGCGTCAAGAACACTGGAGACATGTCTTCCGTCTATCACAACATGATCGATCTAATTTTGAGGATGTTTCGTTGAGGACAGTTGTGCTTGAGATACCTTTTTTCAAACTTTGGCGTTGAAGTCGACAAGCACAATTTTGACATTGTGGCGTTGGCAGCGCTCATAAGAGTGCTCGAGGCGCTCATAAAGGCATATTTAGTCAAATCATTCTTCTTTTTCGTCGTAATATGGGCGTAAATTAGCGTGGTGTTAAAAAACTTCTTTTTCACGCGGATTGTGGCGAGGCGTTCATCCGCGGGAGTGAAGGCCAGTGCTCGGCGACGCAGTCTCTCTCCCACCACGAACCCGACACCAAACTTCCGCAGTAGTAGATTTAACGAGGACCCACCTTCTTTCGTCCTTTTCCCGTCTATCGTATTAGACGGCGATGATGTCAGCCTTTAATTCTATGACGACATCGACCAGCTGGGCACCGGAAGTCATGAGCTGCTTGAGCAGTAAGCAAAATATTTGTTTTTGGCCACTCCCAGGTGAATGGCAGTCAAAAAATTTCGTTACTTGCGTGAACTTCTACACATGGTCCTATCCCCCAGTTGATGTTGGTAGAAACTTTTTCTGCAGCTTTTTCAAGGATATTACTAGAGATATTTCTATTAACATTTCCTTTAAGGGTAATATATTTTGAGCAATGCTATAATTGGCTGTGTGAATTTCACAACCATTGCTAATTTTTTTTTTCAGACTGAGCAGTCTTTTCGGTTTTATACACATAGTCCATTACGAAGCGCGCTTCATATAACCGAAGTTTAGACAATAATGGAGCGAATTCTTCCATTTTAAGAGCTGAAAATATGGCTCAATATTAATATTAACCGTAATTGGTGGCTTTACGTTTAATATTATATTAAATATGTTTTTAATCCTGAAACCAACTTCCTTCAAGGCGTTTTCTATTTCAAAGAACTCAAACTGCCATCAATGCCCTTAAGTACAACGACCAAGCTTTTGGTACTTGGTACTTGAAAAGTGTAGGATGGTTTTTTAACTTTCTCAAAATTTCTACCCAACTTGCGGTAGAAGTCTTCTACATAAGTTTAAATTTTTATTTCATGAATGGATGGATTGATGGTCGCACTTGAGCATCAGGCTTTGCGAGATATTTTTCGATCACAGTTTTTGGTATTTTTATGGATTATGTTATATGTTTTTCGTAGGCGAGCATTTCCTTTTTAAACAAAATTGAAAAATGTAAAATAGTTTTTGAAGCTTTGCTGGAGTAAGCTCTAAAATTTTGAACTTAAAAATTCATTTTTAATGTTGGATAAATGTACAATTGAGTACAGCAACACATCAGAAATATAATGCTATTCAAAATTTTTAATTATTACAGTTTCAACTAATACAAAATTTTTATGATTTCAGCGCAAATGCAGTAACTCACAATTTCGGTCATATGTCGCACCAATTTTCTTTACCCGCTTTAACCACAAACAAGCATTACTTTCTTTCTTGGGTTTTAGGTTAACCAGGTTAGGTTTTACGCTATGAATGTTATCCTGGTGGGATCTCCATTTTAGTATCATCACATAAAGTTGCCCATAGCCACGCACACCAATGCATATCCGCCACCAGACTTTACCATACAATATCTGAGATACCTAAGATTTTGCCGTTGTTGCTTGGGCCATCTCAATTACTCCATTTCATGTGTATCCTTCAAATTATACTTCGATTTATCAGAAACTATCTATTTTCCTCTTTTTATATTTATACTGTTCGATTGAGAAGTAATTACGCCGAGGCAAATATGCGCACAGTTTGCAATACCGTCGCATATACATACATCTAAATAAATTAATTAAAATTATTACGTGGAAAATTATTTGTCCAAACTTATAAATTTTTCATCTGTTAATAATGTACATGCACAACATCCAACACTCAATATCCTTTGAGTTTTCATACCGCATTTGTGTTGTCCTGACGCCACTACAAACTAAAATGCTTAAATACTGGTAAATGTTTGCAAGATTCAACTGAATTGGCGGTAAAATTGCTAGAAGTGGGCTGTTGTCCAATCATAAATTCAAAAATTTCATAAAACTGTCATAACAATAATTTTAAGACACAACAACAACCACCATAACAAGATTAATGCATAAAAGAAAGACAGCATCATTGGGTAACCACATCAATGGAAGTTCCCAGTCAGCTAAATTGCTATGTCGGCATTTTTCATGTCATTCCAAATTAAAATTGCACTCAAATACAATTGAATTTTTCTCTGACGGTGCGTCTGCCGGCCTGTGAAATTTTTGGTTTCTCGCTGCCAGCTTTTACCTTCGCTGCTATCTAATAGCAATAGTAATAGTGCAGCAATTCATATTTTTTTTTTCGTTCTTTTTTTGTTTTTGGGGGTATGGCCGAAAAAAAATGTAAATTGGTTTGAGTGAGTTTTATTTTATTAATTGTAATAGAATTTGAGAGAAAAAGACTCAATGATTCAAAGAACACTGAAAGGAACGAAAAATATTAGTAAGGTACCTATGTATGTATGTCTATACATGCACACATGGACGTATTTACACATAGTTTGTATGTACATGGATTCAATTTTTAATGCCTACATAAGTAGAAATATTAAAACAGCGAGATCAATTTCATTTTGACCTTAAGGAAATAATTTTACATGTATTTCCTGAAAGAGCGATAGCAATGTCCGTATTTATGTGTGTACCTATGCTTATGCATTAATATGTTATTTTGAGAAGTCAAGGACATAAAATCCCTTGAATTTATAAAAAAAAATTTGAAACCTCACAAGTTTGCAATCATCCGGATTTGGTCAAAGTCTTCTGCTTATATCGAAAGTTTGGCAGATTTTTTTTTGTTTTTAATAAAAAAAGAAGAATTTTTAAGTTTATGTAATCACATTTATATCTATGAATAACCCTAAATTTTTAAGGTTTAAAATTTAAAATTTTTGAATCCCAAACTCGTAGCAACTAAAAGTACTCAAATCTGTGCTTCAAGTCTCTCCGTGTTTGCTTATGCAAACAAGTTTTGTTAATGCACTCACATCCAATATAATTTACTCAACTCACTCTTAGTTAGCCCTTTTATTTGCGTCAGTATTGTAAACTTAAATCGACTCATACAAGTGAGAGCTTTCCACTTTCAGTTCACATTCGCACACTATTAGCTATAAAATAAAGGAACCATAGAGCACTCCGTAAAGAAATCTAAAAATAAAGAAAAAAGATTGGGCTGCGAAATGTCTACCCCTTCTTACCGAGACAAATTTGCTGCTGGACAAACTCAATTGTTTGGAATTTCAGAACATCAGTCCTACTGAGCTGACCAGAATGTTTCCACATAAACACACGGTTACATACGTACATATTTACGTATATAGCTGATTACTCAATAAAGCGTCGAACCCTACTATGAAAACAATTCCACTCAAAAACGAAAAATGCCTCAGCACTCATAGTATCTGCAAACACAAATATACATTGCTACTGTTTTCACAGATGCCTACGGACGCTCATACCGGCAAGTTGCAAAAGTGGCAAGCCAAAGTACACTGACAAGAGCGAAATAGCACAATATAACAGCAAAAGTATTTAACTTTAGAGATACAGAGGAGTGAATGAACAGGCGATTGTTGTGAATGCGAGCAAAGCACAAAGTGGTGATTACCACAGCATGTGCCGTGCTGCCGCGAAAGCGTTGCGTATAATGATAACACAAAAACGTCGCAGTGGCTGCTGAGTGTGAAATTGCGGTTTGCTTCTTTTTTTTTGTCTTAAATGAAATCCCGGATGAAAGAGAGAACGGCTGAGGATTTTATGGATTTGCAGATGTGTTGTTGTGAAGCGAGAAATTAAGTGCTTGAATGAATGTAAACTAATAGATATACATATGTATATACGTATACCTGTATCTGTACCTGTGTATATATAAATTTATTGAACCGAATATGTACTTGCATAAAATGTATGCAAACACTATATTAAATCAATGAAAATTCAATAAAAAACCCTTGCTCAGTTGCACATTGTATACTCACACGAAAGCATAGCTTTAATTTCTTTTTGAACAGCTCTCTTTCCGTTCAGAAGATATGTATAACTACATGACTGCATATGTATTTATGTATGTATATATGAACATAGATACATATAAAAACCTGCAAATTCATACACACTCCCAATTAGTCTTACAAGCAGTTCCCCTTTTCATCTACCTGCAACACACCATTCCATACATATCTATAACGTAAACTCAATTCCAATCGGTCACTGAGCACCGTTACAAATCTATACTCAACTCATTTACCCAGCTTTATGATACATTTCAAAGCGTCGCCCTAGTTGCTCTGGCAAATGTTGATGGTCTCATTGCCGCGACGAAGTGATATGAGTATGAGTTCAGTCACACATACTGTGAGCGTAGAAGAGTCAGAGCCAGAGCCACTGCCACCACAATTGAGTGTTTCAGCAGCGTCTCTGTCATTTTCGTACAGAACATTTCGCTGTCGGTATCACCCGAACGTAAGCGCCGCAGCTACTGCTTCTGCTGCTGCTGCTGCTGTTGTCGTCTGAAATGTGTGCATAGTCATAGCGCGTACAAAGGCGCAGATATTACCAATTACACGAATTTTTATACTCTTTTAAAAATTTCGTTTTATTATAATATTTATTATCGTAGAGCGCAGTAGTGTCTGCGGAGCGTTTAGCGTTTTGTGTTTGCGCTGACTTTGTATATCCGACGAACAACAGAAGCGTAGCCAAGCGTATACAAAAATACCAGTAATCCGACGTATCCAAGTCGATTGCAAAGTGTACGTACGAGCGAGTGCCGTGAAAGCGAAATTTCGCGTCTTATTGTCTTTTAACTGTTTGTGATTATTACTACAATACGAGCGACAATCGTCAAACGCCATACGCCATTGCCATAACACCATATATCGTACGTTGAACGTTGAACGCGCTACTCGGTTTTTGTGCTATATTATTACTATTATTATTATTGTTATTTTTTATGTTATTATCATTGTTATATGGCCGTTGCGCCTTGAGTCGCGTGTTGCACATATTGTTTTTGCTGCTGGTAGTGTTATCGAAGAACAATTTGAGTACTCGCTTGTATATTCAAACTGAGAAATTAACGATATCGCCACAGCCGGGGCAGAGGGGAGTTGTGGCTTTGAACGCAAAATAATTTAAATAACATTAAATATTTATGTATTTGTCTGCATAAATGTATACATATATACATATATCTAGATACCAAAATGGGAATTGAAAACTTCTTTGGAACAAGTGTATTTACAATAAAATCAAATAGTGCTGAAACTCTAAAAGCTAGTGATTATTATGTGAAGTGAAGCGCAATAACTTTCAATAAAACCATTTTTAATTAATTACCGCTAACAAGCGGAAAACCTTTCTAGGCTACCCAAGCAGTGGTACTTTCTCAAAACGGAACGACTCGTAAATTATTGTCTGCAGCCTCATAAAACATAAGCGACAGTTTTAAGTAAAAATTAAACACACAAATTTGTACAACGCCTGCGACGTGCTTCAAAATGAAGAGCGCCAAGAGCAGAATGTAAACCAAAAAAATCAAATAGCCAATGACACACTTGACAAAAACGTACCAAAAAATAAGAGAAACATAAAAATTAAATAGCCATAAAAGTAACGCATTTGTAATTACAAGCCATAAAACCGACACAGAACATGAAAACCAACGCCAACAACAACAACACACAGACAATATTTGCAATTGCAACTGCAATAGGAGAAACTGCAGTCGATCGTTAATGAAATCGGTAAAGGGCACCACTACATTTCCACGCTTTTAAAAGCCACATGCGAGTAACGCAAAAAAATTGACAAAACACATTTTGTCACTTGCTCAATACAGACTTTTGACAGAATTTATTTTTGACAATGCTTAAACAAAAATCCGAATACCTGTACAGTTGTGTTAAGGCAAAGTACACACTCGATAATTATATTGGAACGTTCCGAATGTATAATAAGCTATAAAACACCGTCACAATCAGAATTAAAAACATATGGAAGCATATATGAATGTATAAATGAAAATACTTTGATATGCTGCCCATGTATATATGCGTATATATGCATATGTGCGTACTTAAACTCATACATTTTGTACAGACATACACGCTCAAACCGATAAGCTCGAGTGAGCAGAAACTTTGGACAATTGTCTCAAACGAATTTTCAAATTTTAATAATCTCGAACACTTACCTTTTGAGTAAGCGCAGACATTTGCGTTTTTAGTTTTTTTTAGACACTAATGCAACAGCAGTAAAAACAATCATACTATATATAAAGTGCAACATTGTACTCGTATAAAAACGCAGTTATCGTCCTTGGCGACTAATAATAACAGTATTTAATAACAATAATAATAATTAGAAAAAGTGAATGCGCCTACACCGACGCATGATAAGGCTTGAAAGACGGCCGACGGCACTGGGCCAAAGTGAATGTGTTGAAATAAATGCCATTGTGTTCAGTGTTTAATTTGTGTTTCAATCCATATTTCGGAAAAATTTCAATTTTTTAATTTTTTATTTACACACTTAGTGTTACATACAACAAAGCAATAAATAAATAATACAGTCATTCCAATGATATGTACACTCCAATTCGATTTGCGTGCTCAACAGATAATATACATACATGAAAAAAAAGAAACTTGAAAAGTATAGTTGCGAGGTATAAGAAATATTAAATATATTATATACAAGTACCCAATACGCACTTTTGAATTGAAAAGGTAAACATATTTTAAGATTACCCCTAGCCACTTTCTCGTACATACATACTAATGTTAGTTTAAAGCTGATTAGAGTACTAACATATCTAGATTTTTATTTCCGTACTCTTCAGTTCTTTCCTACTCCAATTGTCTATTATTCACTCAAATCTTACATACTTTTCTATACTAACAGCTGAATTTCTTTGCCTGTGCACGATATATGTATTTCTGACGTTAGTCGTGGCATTAACAAAATCCCTGTAGTATTCCAAACGGCTCAAACTATTATTAGCCAAATATAATTTTCCACGCTCGTTCTGTATGCTCTTAATGTGGTTTACTATCTTACAAATTTGACCGAGCCAAATTCATTTTAAAACACTTCACATAATATTAATATTAAATGAAATGAATTATTCATAGGAAATAGTTATAATAAAGACCAAATTAAATAGACTTTCATTATTGTTACATATAAATTACCAAAAAGTTCAATAAATTCATACGAAATTAAGCGCTTAGCGATTCCTTGCGTTGAAGCTGTCGTCGGTCGCAAGAATCTTAAATTGATGTAAATATATTTTCAAGTCACTTTTTCTACATACATATATATATTGGAATAATTTTCACTCAAAAATCATAATATAATATTAAAATAAAATCAACGGGAAACTTTAAAAATTAAAAGAAAATTCCATTCAGGTTGAATAATAATTTAATAAAAATTTATTATTTTTCTATCAAAAAGAAAAGAAAAGTTTAGATTTGTCAAAAAAAAAATATAATATCTCTTACTATAAAATTCCAGAACTCATGTCTTCATTGCCCTAGTGATAATGATCTCTTAGTAGATTTCCATTATACACATACCACATACATAAATACATTGCAGATTTTTTATTTGTTTTTGTACAACAAAATATTACTTTTTATTTCGTATACCTACATATGTATGTGTTGAATTGGTTTTCTTTGGAGAATATATTTTATTTAATTTAAACTAAAATTGGCAAACGTATGTTCAGTTGAGTAAAATCTAACTCGTAAATACAAACGGATTTTATGGATCCACGTGGTGATTCCTCTCTATAAAATTTCAAAGAAAGTAAAACCGACTGATTTCAAAATACATAAATAAGCAAGTTTAGAGACCAGGGACTCGAACTAAAAAAGAATGTGCAATGTCAAAATTTGTTTTCGATAGTATGCTACCAAAGTATCCACAGTTTCAGCCATTTATCAGTTCACATTTAACCTCAACCTCACAAAATTCGTCATCAGCAGCTGTTGCCGCCGCTTTAGCCGCCGCTGCAGCCTCCTCTACGGCGTCCGTTAATACACTCGCTAACAACTTAAGTAGTAGTCACGGTCACATTAGTACCAATAATCACAACAACGGCAATCACATAGCTTCTGTAGCCGTCCACTCATCATCGCTGTCGCCATCGTCGTCCAGTGTTAACATTAGCAGCAGCCATTTAAATCAGTCGTCCAATTCGCCGGTGTCTTCGTCCTCGCCTTCATCCACCACGTTTGGCGCGCTAACGCATCAGCAACAACAGCAACAATTGCAGCAGCACCATCACCACCATCAACAACAACAGCAGCAACAGCATCACAGTCAGTATTCATTGTCCGCCGCCTTGCATTTACAACAACAACAACAGCAATTGCATATTAATAAATTAGCCGCAGCCGCTGCAGTAGTCAATTCACAGAGTGGCAACGGTCTAGGACACAGCGTTCAACAGCAACACCAACTATCTCATCAACAACTATTGCTTACACCACCGTCGGCGACCAATTCGCAAACAGGTGAAAGCAGTTGCTCACCCTCGCCGTCGGCGACATCATCATCGCTGCATCGCAGTATCAACGATCACTCACCCACCTCAGCATCTGCCGCCGCTGTCGCATCAGCAGCAGCCGCTAGTACTGTAGCCGCAGCAGCAGCCGCCGCCGCCGCTGCCTCTTCGTTTGCTATACCCACCAGCAAAATGTATCCATACGTATCTAATCATCCCACATCCCACGGTATCTCTGGCATGCCGGGATTTTCCGGACTGGAGGATAAGTCATGCAGGTGAGTAGTCTGTCAGTCATCTTCAATTCTTACCATTCTAAAGCCAAAATTGCAAAAACATTTTTAGGTGGATAAGGAACAGAACTTTTAATGGCATTGGATAAAAAGTTTAATTTGAGTATCAAAATTTCCTTTTCAAATTTATGACCTCATCTATTTTTATTTATACATCCGTAGTATGCACTGAACCATGAACGAAAAGTTGGGCCAAAAACAATTAAGTGCACACAATTTAAATCCGAGGTTTAAAATACCACCAATAAAATTTATTCATGGTTTTTTTGCCGATTGTGGTCGTTCCTAATTATTTTTCCCAATCTTAAAGTCGCCAAGTCGTAAGCTTTTATGTCGTGTAACATGCGTTTAGAAGGCTCTCTGTACCGTTATTTGGTATAGTGGGGAAAGTCAGAGTTCGAGTGCTCGTCACCGTTTTAATCAATTTTGCGCTGAGCTCCTCTTCCAATTCGTGGTTTTGCGTCTTTATGTTTTCGGTCCGACTAGGACTTGAACTCTGGCAATACGAACCGAGTGGTTCGGATATTGCAGGAGCTAATCTTCTCAAGATATTTGATAAATATTAAATACACTTCCCTGCATACCGAGGTCACAACCTTTCTAGACAATTGTTGTGCTTTCGGCACTTAGCTCAGATGACGATCGTTCACCTTTCTTGATCCTGGCTTATAGTTAGAAAACGCGGAGCCTACTTCGAAGAGAGCTTTGTCGTAATCAAAAGCTCCAGTCAAAAATATTCAGGCCAAAAGATTTGATATATTTGCGCTTTCAGCTAAGCTAAGCTTCACTCGCTTTGGCTGTATTTTGTTCATCAGTAGTGTAGAATGAAACTGTTTTTCATCCGCTGCTTTGAAAATAACAAAAGTAGTGGCACTCAATAACTCACAAACTTGGTATAGTGTCATGATATTTTAACGGATTTATTTTGAAGGTTAGAAATATCTGAAAAAACAGTGAAGGAAATAAATCCAACGTCATCTATGCGTTAAGCCCGTGATACGCGCGTCGTGAGGTCTTCAATTCTTATGCGTTGTCAACACATCGCTCATTTACATCTTAACTCAAAAACATGATTTTTATGTAACAAAATTTACGTAGGCATTAAAATTTACCATTCAGTAAATTTTGCTACCATTTCGTATTCTGAGTTCACTGTTACCGTGTAAATTTTGTTATCAGCGAAATAGGAGCTAACAAACATATCAGCGGTTTGATTTTGTGTTGTAAGTTTGAGAAAAAATAAAATACTAAAATGGGTAGGCATATTTTAGGCCTAGAATTCTTTGAAGATGAAGCAAAAAGTGCAAAAAACTGTATTTTAAGAAGTTTTCGAAACTAACAGTTCGCCAGAATACTAAATTCAATTTTGGGTGTTAAAGAAAAGTAACAAAATTTACTTTACCGGTAACAGTGAGAATAGGCCTGATAATGTTAACAATTCTTGAATTATTTGATAAAGACAGAGTGTTTTTCTGACAAGATATAAATGCTACTCTTAGACATTATCATCTGCGGTTCGGAGACGGTTTAATATTGTATATACTGCAGGTCCCTCTATTTAATGGAAACACATCAAGACACGAAACCACAAATTGAGGTAGGAGCTCAGCCGAAAATCGCTTCAGCGATCTCGGAGCCTTAAGCCTAATTATATTATGAAGATTAAGAATCGACATTATTAAAACTACTTGAGTTTTTTTTAAGTCTACCCAAAAATATTTTACATTTAAATGTATTTATTTCATTTTAAAATATTAAATTTTGAACGAACAAATTATTGAAGTTAATGAGCGATATGTGTACATATTACGGTATGTATTACAGATCCATTTGTTTCTTACGCTACTAACTGGTATTTTTCATAAAACTATGTCAGATGATCCTCACCTACTGGCGCATAATTGCATTACGAAATCTTAAAAATTTGAAAAGGGGTAAATTTAACACAATGAATTTTACTTAACTTTGATTATTATTTTTTACATGGAGTACGTGAGGTAGCACTCATGAGAATTAAATTAATTTTTCTAAAACTAACTAAAGTTTAAAAATTCTATATGAAACTGCGACGCTAAGACAGACAATATTTGATCTATTATGATTATTATTATTCACCAATCTCCCGCCCATCCGTACAAGCGCGCAGTCCGCATTGATATTGATAGCGAGTGACGACCAGTAGGAGTTTGCTTAGTGTCGGTACTAAAAAATTTCAGCTACTGCAGAACAAAAATTCGTCAGCTGATTTTAAAATTTTACTTAATTCAAATATAAAGAAGGAAGGCTCGGGTTTAAATCCTGTTGAAACCAACGTCCGAAATTTATAGAAAATTAGTTTAATTAAAAAAATTATGATAAATTTTATAATTGCGATCGGCTCTCGGCAGGTATCTCTGACATGAAATAAAGACAACTCATAAAAAACCAGCAGCCGTTGGTTGGCGGCTTGGTATAAATTCTAGGTCCCTCCATTCGTTGTAAAAACATCAAGACACATACCACAAATTGAGAGAAAAGATCGACCGAAAATCTCTTCGGCAATTATATTTATGTGTATGTGATCGTGTAGTAACTAATCGACAGGCAACAAATTTGTTATCTTAATATGAAAGAGCAAATCTGATATGTCGAATAAGCAAGAATGAATCGGGAAATTCAAAACTCGTTCTACAAGTTTTGGGAACAAGAGACAAAAATGTCTGGACTTTCCATGTAAACCAGAAATTAAATTTGATTTCAAAAAAAAAAAAAAGATGTATGAAAATGTGACAGTGGGGAGGTTAATAAGCTTCAGTCTAATGGTATAGAGAGAAAGAGAGCCGACAATTTTTTTTCAGTAATTTTCAATGAGAAATTGAGAACGAATGAGTAAGTTCCTGGTTACTTTCAATTAAATTACCATTTCAAATCTTTTATACAAACATAAAATAAACTTTTCAAATACTCAAAAGATATCTGATGACAACACAAGTTAATATTTATTAGTGATAGTAATAATTAGTAATGTACTTTTGAACAAATCAACTGGACTTTGACTTACTTCAATCATTTCATTTGACAAAGAATTGCACAGAATTTGACTAATGACTTACTTCTTCAAATTATTATTTTGATTATTGAACGAAATCTTGTGTCAGCCTGTTTAACATTCCAGGAATATTAAATGAAAATAAATGCTTTTCCAACAAATTGAAGGAAAAGATTGACCGAACGCACATACTATATACTATATTTTGAATAAATAACATTGCTCAGATTTTTCTTTAGAAAATTTTTTGCAATATAATAATGTAAATAAATACAATACGCACAAGTAAAGTAACCGAGAAGCTTAATTTTGCTTACCTAATATTGTCTCCTTTTTTAACTACCCCTTCACCGTATATATCTACATACCTGGGTCAAGCACACTGATGTGTAGGTAATTTTTAGTTCAAGTTAAATTGAATTGGTTATCCAGGGCGTCCACTTTGACGATATTTTGTCCAGCAGCCGCTAAGTAAACTTATGTTTTGACTACCGATTTCTGGACACATGCTCCATTGTCCCCAAACATTACCTACATTTCATACACTTCTTGCCCCTTATTAGATCTAGATTAAAGAATTTGGGTACTTTATCGCTAGTAAAAACTTTGTGAACTCTGGCCATATGACCTGATTTTCAGCTGTTCAGCTAATACTTGGTCCTTGGGTTTAATATAGGTTAACATGTTATAAAATAAAAAGTTGCGAAATAAAAATGATATAAACAAAGCATATGAAAATATCACAAGTTCTGGACAATATTGCATTCAGTAAGTTTTATGGCATGTATTTAGTTAGTCCCAGCAAGAGGTCAATCAACCAATATGGACTTTATATACAATAAAGCTAGATGTAGATTTGTATGTGCATGTGTTATATGCTACAACAATTCACATAATAACATCTATAACAATCACTGTAATGACCTCCCTAATGATGTGATTTTGTGTACAACATACAATATACTCGTATACAGTACAAATAATCTGACACGCTAACTGTCCATGAGCCATATACAAACACAAATAATGAACATATGTACATACAAATGTTATGAGTAGGAGTGTTAATAGCAGAATTAGAGCACACACGCTGGCCTGGTAGCTGTCCGCTGGTAGTCTGGCAAAATTAAAGTGAACAATCAGAAGTAAACCAATGAAGTGATTAGCATTTTTGGCCAATTTAAAAACAAACAACTGCCGCACCTGATTCATGTGGCTAGTAAAACCACTCTCGTTTGACACTTAGTTGACCATAACTAAATAGCTCTATAATTAGGCTTCAAAAGGTCTAAGCCAAACTATAAAGAAAAATTGGCACGCGCATTGACCTTCGGCCATTTGCATACAGGCGTAACAATAAGAGCTCTACGCATGACTGCCTCCGAGAACCCAAATATATTTGTGTTACAATTTGCTTTCAAGGAAAATTGGCAGATTTAAGAAAAAGCATTACCCAAACAAGACTACGCACTCAGGGATGATTCTGTGTTTTTGCAATTTTGTATATATGTAATAATATAGGAGAATCTGTGTGTACAAATGATATCGCAATATTTGTAAATTCTTACAAATTTCATTTTCTTTCATAGCAGGTACACAGACAGTATCATGAACAGTTACCAATCAATGAGCGCACCAGCTTCAGCGTCCAGCTTTGCACAATTCTACCAACATGCTGCCGCCGCAACGGCTGCATCTGCTGGAGCTGTTGGCGTTGACTCACTTGGTAACGCATGCACGCAGCCATCGACGGGTGTACTGTCCACCGGCAGTGCCGGTCAAAGTATTGCCGATTTGCCAAGATATCCATGGATGACATTGACAGGTGAGTTTCGTCAGTTTAGATATAGTATTTATCTTATAAATATTTTTTGTGGAATTGAGTGTACTTACATTTTTACTTTTGTGGGGATCTACGCATGTGTGTAGTTTTACCTCGAGAGGTAGTATGATATGTGGTTCTTTTTATTAAATATGACAGAAATTAATTATAATTTCACAATTTTTTTTTTTTTTGCTCGGCATAACCTGCTGTATAATTAGGCTACTTGTAGATCATGAACCACATTCTATTCAGCAAAGTCAGATCCGAATTTTTCGTCAAAATCGTTAATAGACAATGTTAAACGTTAAAAATTAAGTGTAACGATGAGTTTCTGCGATTTCAAAGTTAACGATTTCATTTCTTTTTGATAACCGGGCGCCGAAACGAAACGATTTCATTTCGCTTAGTTACTATTTCTTGTTTGCCAAACAAAATGATATCGATGCGTTTGTTGCCAATCTCTGATAGATACGTATAGGCAAATATATTAACCGTTGATATTTTAAATGAAGTTTTCTGAAATGTCAGTTTGAATGCCGTCAAGCCATAAGGCTAACAGCAGAATTAAATTTCTTCAGCTATAATTTGCGGAAGCGAGAAATATTTTACAGATACTATGTTGGTTTTGGAGGATATCTCTTAGGCGGGATGAAACTCGTGCTAATTTATCTAATATAAAGCATCTAAAGGTGGGACTGACAGGCATATTCTGTCGAGGTAACAAAATTATAATTACATTATTTACTTTGGTATTAAAATTTATCATTCAGTAAATTTTGTTACTATTTTGTATTCTGAGTGTATTTTGAGGCGTATGCTAAGAAGTTGCGAGAAAAAATTACCCTTTTAATTTGGAAGATAGCGTTTTCATTCAGCTGTTTTTTGTCGTTTAGGCATATTTTCCCAAATTAGGTTTCAATATATATGATTGAATAAACAAATAATTAAAACTTATTTATTTGGTTGTGCACTGTCTTCCTTTTCGATGTGAATATTCTTCTTTTTAACTTTACCAACTGGCAAATGTAATTTGACAAAGACGAAAAAAGCAGTGCGGCCAAAGTTTTTTCAAACATTGTAACCAGTAACAATGAGAATAGACATGTGAGTAAGCAAAAAATGTTTCCAAAGTTTTAACATTTTGAAATGATTTGAGGGCTCCCTCCAACTATTACCCTCAATCCTCGAGGGTAGTCCTGCTCCATAAATACTTGTATATTTCAGTTGAAAATGAGTCAAGATTGACGGCCAATATGTTATACATCCAACAGACGATTAACATTAAATCAACCAACAAGTACACATGTGCTTGCTTATATACAGAAATGTATGTACATACATATATCATACAAAGTAAAATGGTGTATATAAATTAATATTTGTACAAAAATGTTTACGAATTAATTTCCTTTCCCCGTACTTTCCTGGCGAATCCGAAAAAAAATCTTTCGAAACGGGAATGTAACAATAATGTTAAAGGCATATAATTATATAAATTGCCTTGTTTACAAATTTATGTTTATTTAAAGAACAGAACTTTAACAATAAAGCAGTTTTGCATATTTATATAACTATCTAAATATAAGGAACGAAATGTATAAAGCAATAATAAAATTTTAAATAAAGAAGAAAAATTTATCTTAAAACGCAGTATACAAAAAATTAGTAGAGAAATCTATCTACCGTTTTACTCTACAAATACCAAAGTATGAGATTCGTCTTGAAGAAGGTCCACTACAGTCCGGTGCAGAATTACAATAATTGCTTGGCGCTTTAAAGTTGTCACTTGAATCCATTAATGCAAATTACACTTGCAAGGAACACGTGAGAATATATATAAAATAATACCTACATTTATAACTTGATGTATCTTCAATACAAACCATGTCTCCCGATTATAATTATTATTACATAATTTTTTTAAATTGTTTTGACTACGAGTAACAGCTGACAGTTTAAGGGGTTACATAGGTCTTGAAGGCCAAAAAAAACTTAGTTTCTCTAATTATTTTAAAAGATAATAAATAAAGTATAAAATATATTTTTATTACATATAAAAGTACAATATGTGGACAACATTTCATGAAAATATGAATGAGAAATAGTATAAGATAAGGCGTTGACAGTGTCGACAAGAAAGTGCTTCCGCGGTAGTCATGCTAACTTTTTCAATTTTTATCTGAAATCAAAAATTCAAATTTTTTCTTAAAGTAGGTAAATTTTCCTAGTCCCAGATTTTAAATCAAAGATAAAATAAATCCTTCGTTCAGGGACTACAAAAAAATGCATAAAAGAATTGTGGAAAATTTGACGTCGATCGCTTCAATAGTCGTTGCGAAATTTTGACTACCGATTTCGATAAAGTGGTTTTAAGAAAAACGCGTTCAAACTTTTATCATCGGTCAAGCCATGACGAAGATGGCGTGTTATAAAACTCTCTAATTTCTACAGTTTCGTCTCGATCGACTTGAAACTTGGGGAAAATATTTCTGACACTTTTTACTTTCATACAAAATATTATCAAAAAACATGAATTTTTTGAAGTTTCAAGACCCATGTAACCCCTGAGCAGTCTAAGCGGAGTTTGTAAATTCTCCAAATTTCAGTTGGAAAGAGAGCGATTCTTCTCTCCTCACATCTTTTCGAGAACAACATATTGCACCGCTATCTAGCAAACACTTGTCAAATTTTGCCATTTCTAGTAATTTATAATTATTTCACGAGCACACTAATATATTTTCACTTTCTGTTTATTGTTTAGCAAAAAAAGACGCAGTTTACATATGTAGCTATGCGTGCTCATCATAGCCTGTAGAATAACTGTAGCGTTGTATCCCTCTTCATATTTTAGCAGTTCCATTCGGTTGGGTTGGAAAACGATCACTGCTATGTACAGCTTTTGATTCATGTTCGACGATCAGTACGAATTGTTCCCTCTTCATCCATAACCGCTTCATAAACTGTTCAACTGGTCATTCAGGCTTATTTTAACGGCAATTGCCTCAATTTAAATTATACCTTTATTACTGTGGAGTATATAAACAATAGATGATGGCATCGTTATTGCCAATTTGCGTACAATTCATAATGGCCTCTTATGAGCATTTCTCTTCTTCGGCTATACTGGTTCGGTGTATTTCCCACACATGCTACTCTTTCCCTCTGTTTTGTTGGTGCCTGCCCCAGCTCTACTCTGTTAAACATTTCGAGTGTGTTGTTAAACGGTAGATAATCATAAAAAAGCAATTCGTGTAATAGTTTATTCAAAAATTTTATTGTAGCTATAGTGGCTGTTGAAATTTCTTGCTATTGTGGCCTTTGTTGTTTTTGTTGTATTGCCGCTATTTCAAATCAGTATCAGTATCTGCTCTGGTGATTTGTTATTTAAATAGCGTCAAGGTTATAACTCTTTGCCATCACAATTCGTTTATATTTATTTGTATATGTTTATACGTATATGTATGCATATGTTTAGGCAAATGCACACAGGCATGTATATATAGGCATACATACATATGTATGTACGAGTATACAAAATAAATGCAAATGTGAATATACAAGTTTTGTTGGTTGTGCGTCGTTTTCTTGTTAAAAGCTAAATAACCGCAACAAAATATTCTTGACGACTGGCCAAAACGATGTTTGGTAATTAAAAAAAAATATCTTTCTTTATCCACAGTTTCAATTTCGCATGAGAAGCGTGTGGGTAAATAAATTTATGTAGACCCGTTAATTTATGTAAATTTTTTGTGTGTTTTTGATGAAGTATAAGAGATTTATTTGTTGTATTTGAAGTCAATATAATTAATTTAATTTCCAATAATCCCAAGTGATAATTGCAAATGGAAAATTAAAATTTAAGTAAACATATTTATGAGTTGTTAATATATATTTGTGTATATGTGTATATGATATGTATTATATAATATAATATTTTTGGCCGAGCTCCGCCTTCAATTTGCGATTTTGCGTCTTGATGTTCTTCTAACAAATGGAGAGACCTACAATTTATGCTAAGCCGCCTCCGAACGGCTGATGGCTTTTCTATGGGGAACTTTATTTCTTGTCAGAAATACACTCGGAGGGGTTGACATTCTCTGCTGAGGGGCGACCGCAATTAGAAAATTTTATGTAATTTTCTTTAAATTTTTGGATGTTGGACGCGTCAGAATTTGTACGCGAGCCTTCCGAATGGCAGTAATGCTAACCACTCGACTACTGTGGCCGCTTATTGTTAGTCTTTATTGATGCAAATCATTTTTGTGAATTGGAAATGATTTAATGTTTTTTGAGTAGCATCCGAATTTTTACGGTCAATAGGCTTCCTGTTGTATCCTTAAAAATTTTAAATTTCCACTTGGATAATTTCAATGATTTCGCAAGCTTATCAGTTTCTAGATACATTGCAGTTAACACAAACCCCCGATACTTAAATTCCTTAATCCTCGTAATCTAAGATTTTCTTGCACTGGTACAACTGATTGTTCAGTTTTATATAAATGTAGATCTATATATGAATATAATACATGCGAGGTGTGTCTAAAAAATAATGAGAATTTTTAATTTCAACCTCGCAATACTTCTTATTTTAAATAGCTTTTATTTCTGTCAGTTTGTGCTTTTAAAAACCCACACCGAGCCAAGTCTCACAATAATAGAGCGTGGGTCTCCATATTTACCATTCAACCTGGTGGCAGGAAATCATTTTAATATTTAAATTGAAGAACACAACAACTCTCTCGATCAACTTTCATTCACTACTGACTTTGTTCAAAATTCAGCAATTTCGGAATACATTTTGCTGCTACACGTTGCATACAAAAAAGCGTTGGAAAAATATTATGACATCCTTTAACAGACATGTAAAGATCGTCAGCGAATTCTTTTATTGTGATTTACTGATCGCGTTTTAAATATTTTTTTTTCATTTTTTTCCATATTTTCATCGGGTGCCCACGTCGTTGGTCATCTCAAAGTATTCACCACTTTCTTGCAAACGCTTTATCACTCATAAACTCTTGCTTTGACACACTTTGTCCACTTAATCCATTTTCTCCACAAAATTTCATAAAAATTCGTTGAGCAAATGAATACCGCCAAGCTCATAAGAGCTCGTCTAACCTGAGCGAGTGAGAATCGCTGTTCTTGTATACGTATGCCTTCATAAAAACAAGTTCGAAAATTTAAAAATATTCGTTCTTTGTTTAACACACCTCGTATGTATATGTATGTGCACTTGCATATGTAGGCACTACATGTAGGTGGAATAAAATACTAGTTTCCTATTCAAAACTCGATTAGTAAAGCGAACGATGTGAAAATGGAATTCCTTTCGATTCGCAATGACTCGACTGAGACTCGTTTGGCTTTGCTTGAACGTAAAATATTCAAATTCATTAGTTTAATTGCATTTTACGCAAAGTCGCAGACATTTCTCTTTTCTATATCGACGCTCCATCGACCCCTTTTACATTTGCAAACAAATAATTTGTGCATACATAATTTAACATTTTCCTAGCGAATGCCATTCACAGTGTCGGCTAACTGAGTTTCGTTGCTACTGGGCTTGAGTCTAGCGAACTAACAGTACTCAAAGATGTAATTTCATAAGTGTGCAGCCGTAGAAATATCTGCATGTATACAAAAACTAACTGCAACTACGTATATATGTAAGTGCATACGATCATGCATACATATGTACATATTAATATCTTTAAAAGTTTACAGTTGCATTGACATCGGATAATATGAACATGTTGACATTTTTACATTCCGTAATTATAATTTTCCTGCTATAAAACGACTTATATCGTGATAAAGTAGATAGCACATATTGGCCTCAGATAAGGAATATTAATTTAACTGCAAAATTTAATGGTTATCTAGTTATAGTTTTTCTTTAGAATTTTTATATATTTACTTAATTTCTTTTTTTTTTTTAAGTTTTCTTGTTTATAATGAGGTTTATAAAGATACATACATATATAATATATACATACATGTGTAGATGTAATGGCTACACTCACATACATTTTCGTATTTCCGAGTCACAAATCGCAAAAGTTTTTCATTTTTAATTAAAACAAGTCCTCGAACTTTTGCTTCAATATGCACACGTTCTACGTACAAATGTACAATGGAAAATATTCTGAACATTCAGATCAGTTGTTTGGCGATGAGTGTACAAAGAAAAATTTCAATTAAATACACGCACACATTTCAAATGCAACAAATGTGGAGTGATGCACATACATATACCCTATGTTCTGGCATATTTGACGGACAACAGTTAAACAGACAGTGAGCGATATTGTCTCGTTTAAATTAGGCATGAGTGTTTGAATAAGCTTTTTCTTTGTTTTCCTTTGCTAACTCTGTATTATTCGTTGCAACGAATTATAGGCGAACAGCATGTATGCCCATCTCCACTTCAAGGCAGTTGAAGGCAAATGCCAGAGCGCAGACATTGTTTTCACATTGCCATTCCTCATTTGCATCATCGCCATTTCATCTTCACCCAATAAACGCTGTCATTGTTGCTTGTAAAATTTTAAAGCACTGATAAGCTTATTTTCAATTAAATTTTTATTTTGCTAAATAATTGCCGAGATTTTTATCAAGAACCATTTTAAGCAGAAAAAAAAATATGCATATATGTATTATAAATTATATAAACTTTCTTAACAAACATACAAATAGTCTCGATTTTTTTTTTATTATATTTGGAATATAACTAAAAGCGTCAATAAAGTTTTTTCTATTTCTATTAAGCGGTGTTATTTTTATATTCAAAGAAACTTTTCCTTTAAAAAATCGATGGTTTCGTTGTTCGTGTGTGTTGAAAGCAAACGTTGGTCTGATCAATACCATCCAATTCCAGCGCTAAAAAAATCCGGTAACATCTCTCGATAGCGTATTCCAATCATTTTTCGAAGAAGTTTTATTGTTTCAAATTAAAAAAAAATATTTATATGCTTTGGTAAACTCGTTATGGTATAGATACACGAATGACTTTTCACACCAAATGACTGGCTCAGCCCGTAAATTGACTCTTCTAAAATTCGATTGCTACATATGTATGTACATGTAGGTGTATGAACATATGTATACATTGAAAATGACACTGAAATATTACTTATTATATTATTTAATATTTAAAAATTATATATTTTCGTTCTAAATATATACCTCTTACACAGCAAACGAATAGTAAATAAGCCAAATTGGATCAGTAAAACTACGGCCATATAAAATAAAATTAAATTTTACAATGGCTTGCCCACATATATTGAAATATTAATTGATTGAAAATTTAAAAATTTTATTAAGAAAATATACTTTGAAATAGATTTAACAATATCATATCATTTAATTACATAATCAACATTGAAGAGAAAATTAAGACATGAAAGGTAATGGTTATTTCTTTAGAAAAAAACTTAATTATAGAAATAATAATTACATTTGATATGATAAAAGTTCGCATTATTATTATTATTATTATTATTATTATTATTATTAGCGAAAAAATAAAGATCGAAATGTATGTGTTTCTATCATTTATTTTTTTTATTATAACCTACAACATAAATCCTGTAAGCTATTTGTTTGGCAGCTTGGCTGCGGTAGCCGGGTGGTTAGTATTACGTACTGCCATTCGGAAGACTCGGCTTAAAATCCTGGTGTCGTCCTAACATCCAAAAAAGTTATTGAAAAATTATCTAAAATATTAAATTAAGCTAAATTTTTTAATTGCGGTCGCGTCTCTTCGAGGAATCTCAATCCCTCAGATTGTATTGAGAGAGAGAGAGAGAGAGGTGTATTGATCGCAAAAACGATGAGCTGTTCGGTGGCAGCTTAGTATAAACTGTAGGTCGCCCCATTTGTTGGAGAAACAACAAGATGCAAAACCACAAATTTCAGCAAGAGCTCCGAAAATCGCTCAGCGGTTGCAAAGCGCCAATTATATCAATATTTATATATATATATATAGCTGATACGTCTCAAGTGGTTACATAGGTCTTGAAACTTCAAAAAGTTCATTTTTTTTAGAATATTTTGTATAAAAGTACAAAGCGTCAGGGATATTTTCCCCAGGTTTCAAATCGATGGAGACGAAACTGTAGAAATTATAACCACCTGTCTTTGTAACGGCTTGACCGATGATAAACCTTTAAACGCGTTTTTCTTAAAACCACTTTATCGAAATCGGTATTCAGAATTTCTCAACGACTATTAAAGTGATAGAGTTCAAATTTTCCACACTTCTTTTAAGAATGTTTTTGTAATCCCTGAAAGAAGGATTTATTTTATCTTTGATTTCAACTCACTTTACAAGCCAATATGTGGCCTAATTTTAAGCTCAAAACGACGCTTTTTGTAAAAAAACGCTAGAAAAAATTCAAATTTTTATTTTTTTAATTTCTCTTCGTTCAGGGATAAGGAAAATTCACCTGCTTTAATTTTGATTTTTGATTTGAGATAAAATTGAAAAAGTTATCATGACTACTGCGAAAGCACTTTCTTGTTCACTGTGTACTTCACGACACTGCCAACGCCTTAACTTATACTATTTTTCATTCAAATTTTCATAAAATGTTGTTTTAAAAAATATATAAAATCAATAAATAAAAATAAATTCTGTACTATATTTAGTATCTTTTAAAAAAATGAGAGAAAATAAGCTTTTTTTGGCCTTCAAGACCTATGTTACTCCTAAAGCTCCATCCTTATTTACATATTTTCTTATCATACATATTAACATTTAAAGTTTAAATTCGATTCGATCCTCTGAAATATATTTGTTCTTTTAAGAAAATTGGTTAGTAATAGGATTTATTGGAATGAAGAAACTGAGAGGTAAGAAGTTGGGTTGGCAGCTCAGACATGGAAATGACATTTGCGTTGCAAATATTGTATATAGGGGTTAAGTTGTACAATACATAAGATCATTTTGATTTCTGAATAATACAGTAAAGTTCGAAACAAAGTAATTCTTGATGATTGAAAATTTGACATTATTACCTTAGCATCAAAAAACTAGAAACTGACAATAGTTAATGTGAGTTTTTATTTTATGTTTTTAAATGGTGTGCAGGTTGGGCTTGTTGCCGTTTTTAATTTCCAGGCAATTAATTGTCACAAATAGTTATACAAAAAAATTCAATTACTGCATTAATTTGATTTTAATTCCTTTACGTAAATATTTGCCAACAGTAATATGTATCTTAACAGAAATTGGTATTTAATTTTTGACTTAGAATATAGTCTTACTTTCGAATTTCGCACAATTTTTTTTTTTCTTTTTTGTAGCAAGTAAATTCTTATAAACGTACTCAAGCATTCTCCGTCATAATATATTTTTTGCTTCAAACCATGAAGGCCAGAAAAGTAATTGCTGAAATAAACGCAGAATTGTTTGAAAAAAAAACGAAAGGTTTTTACATTTTCAAAGGATTGCTTTTTTTTCTATTTGAAGTAGACATATGTTGCTAAGTATGAATAATGCATTCTCCACATATAATATATACTCTTTTTTCCTCAAGGTCTTAACTAACTTTATATTTTTTGTTTTTTATTCATTTCAGAATGGATGGGAAGCCCTTTTGAAAGAGTCGTCTGTGCAGACTTCAACGGTAAGTGCCCGAAATGTCAAATTTAATTTTAATGTGTATAAAAAACGTAAATTTTGAGTTAATGTGGTGATTAGTTAACGAACACTTTCCTAAGAATCCATATTTGTTTCCAGCAGTCATTTGAGATATTATACATTAGATGCGTCTATCCCTTTTCTTCAATGACCTTGCATTTAAGATTTGCCAAAGTAAAATGTTTGTATTTTGCTAGTTAAGTGAATGTGAGTAGTATTTACTTTCTTTCATATGTGCACAGCTCGTCCACTAATCGTATTGTGTGATTTATGACATGTGCTTGCGTTATTTTGAAGGTTTATGTATATATGAGTGTGTATTTTATAGAATCTTGTAGTTGTAGGGGCGGAAAAACGCTTTGCAAATTTTTAAAAATTTCTTTCGTTTGTAATCACACACTACAAACCAATACGATTTTCGAATTGCATATTTAATAGTATAACCATCGCCCGCCGCATGGTCAATTTGCAACAATCGCAAACAGCGATGTTGGCGTAATGCATTTGAGTTGCCGCCATCGAACAGTAGCTGTTGATGGCTATGCGGAATCGTTGTTGATTGCTGCAATTACAATATTTCCAACACTTTTACGACCATAACAAGAACTGTGATCCATTTGGACAGCAATATTTTTGCAGCGTGCTGTTCCCAAGTTGTCATGCTTTGACCCTTGCGAAAGTGAGCATAGTTTAGCAACATACTACGTGAACAAAGTCAGTACTTAAACATCTGTACTCCTTGTGAACGCAATTACCAACCTCCCGTTCAACTCCAATAAGCACATTACTGTTCGCCTCTTCGTTATTCCACATATTTTGCTTTTCTTCTGTTGTCGTTGTAGATTTATGTTTATGTAATTCGAGGCCTGGCTACAGAGGCAATGAGGCGCAACATTGTGTTGCTTTAATGGAAAATGGATACCTCTCGATATGGTGGTGAATAACTTTTAAAAAAGTACTTGCCGGAAAGAAGAACAAATATACGTGCAGGGCTAGCCAAGGATTACTGTTTTGATTGTTTCAGTTTTTTTTTAGTAATAGTTCTTCTTTATGTTTGTTTATGCAACAATACGAGATTAAATCTCAAAACAAGCAATATGAGAACGTGATTTCATGCGCCGATATTGTGCTAGATTGATAGGTGCCGACGCATTTAAGGAGTTGTAAAGAGGATGGGAATGACCTGTTACCTAAACTTTTGGTATCGCTGTTGCTAATTAAATGACTGGATAAGTTAGGCTGACTTTGACAAGCATTTTTCTTATTATCTCAGTTTTTTTTCCTTTATAATATTCTAATGATTTTCTAAAGACATTTCCATTCATCTCTTTCAACTTCATAACTGAGTTTTTGTTAAATAAATTTGTTTAGCATTATACGAGGTGATTAACAGAAGTTCGGTAAATTGACCAGAAAAAAATTCTTTTAGTATTTAACATTTGTATTGTAATCTTTGTCCCTTTTTACCTTTTCTACATAATCGCCAATAATTTCAATGCATTTCTTAAGCGTATAGATCCTATTCTGAGAAAAGGCTTCAAATTCTTGCTTTTTTAGCTTATCAAGTTTAGCATTAACCGCAATAATTTTCTCCTCGTTGGAAATAACCAGAAAACACAACATGCTATACCCGAGGTATATGTTATTGGACGTATTTCTTCGATCCCAGATATTCCATTAAACTACTCGTTATTTCAGCAGTGTAAGATGGCGGGTAAAAAGTAGCGCCGCAAATGCTCTTTTTTCTTTTGGTAAACGCTCTTCGGTGTACCATTTTGTAGTTACTGCTTGTCCCTTTTCCAATGGGATAGCACCTGCGATTTAAATCGGCTTAAGTAAACTGACATCATTAATTTTGCTGCTGAGTTTTGTTGCTTAGATTTTACGGGTTGGTTTGCTATTGTTGGGCTACATATTATGAACTGCTGTTTGGTTTCTGGATCGTACTTATAGAACCGAGATTCGTCACCAATAACGACTTTACTGAAGTTGCTAGGCTGACCAAATTTCCGATTTTTTTTAGAGAAATTGAGCAAAATGCGCTCGTTCCACTTTTAGGGTCTCTTTTAAAATTCGTGGTACCCATCGAGTATTCGCGATACAACCAAGGCACTCAATCCCAATATATTAGCAATCATTCCTTGTGTCAATCGTGGGTCTTCGGCAATTACGCACTTCACCAGAATTATAGTGACGACATCAGTAGAAGGTTTTGATCGACCTTCTCGGGGATCGTCCTCGACGGAAAAATGATCGGTATGGAATCTGCAGAACGACTTAGAAATAGTCCGTAACGGCATTTATTGACTATTTCTATTGGCTGTAAATTACGCCACAACCTAATGAGAATCACTTGCCGAATTTCTGTTTGCGTTGGCAGTGGAATTTCGTCTAAGCTGGCTTAGTTATGTTGTATTCTATCGTCTCGATTTCAGCCGATCGCTTTAAAATTTGAAAGGAAGACTAATAAAGTAATTGTAAAGGACTCGGTATTTTTAGATTAAAAAAAAAACAATTTGAGAGTCACCAACTAACCGTACTTTTCTTAATCACCTCGTATTAATACGATTACATAAATAAAAATGTTATAATTTTCATTGAAGATTTCTGTCAGTTAAAATGATTTGCAATATGCTCACATATTGAGAAAAATGAGCAAGTTTTTGTTTCAAAACAATTAATCTCTTTTAATTTTAATCATACCTAAATCAATGTTCGTATATTTATTGTTTAAGAAACTATTTGAACAAAAATATTCTTTAAATGTTGCTGCCTCGTCAAACTGCCTATTTTACAACTTAATTTTCATATACCTGTTTCAATCGAATTAAACTCACAAACAAAGACCAATATAAAATTCACATAAGGAAAAATTTTAAGATACTTATAAATATTTTTGTCTCACAATTATACATTAAATAGACAATAACAATTACAATAAATCAAAAATTGCCATCAGCGTCATTATATTTGATATATGGTGCTTTGAAATAAATAATAATAAAAGCAAGAAAATTTATTCAACATAAAAAACTTGAATGGCACCCAAATAGTCATTAAAATTTAATACGATCATCGTTTGTTTTATAATTTTTATCAACTACAACACAATCGAAGAATTGCCCGCTTCGTCTATGCCGTCGTTGTCGTTTGGCATTAGCATCGAAATTTCGAACAACAGATTCGTATTCAAGCATATAAAAGTGTAAATGGATCATAAAATGGTCGTAAAAGTGAAACATGCTTTGCCATTGAGCATTTTGTGGTTTTCAAATGATCTCATTTCAGTCCGATTGCTCGCGCCAACACAATCGAATTAGTGACGAAAAATTATTCATTAAAAGCTAAAAAAATAGTGTAGACAACGTTTGGTTTGGCATCACAGTAATCATATATTCATAATCATTTATATTCTTTTTAGTATATCAAATAATTTGAAATACTCAGTCCTCACATACGAGTATATAATGGTGTACGATATCGCTTTTTGAAACATACGTACTCGAGTGGACAAAACTTATAGAATATGTAACAAAAATCTTATTTTTCATCTATGAAATACTTTTCCTTCACGACTGTAGTACGAACGGTATTAGATAACTAAACATGGTATTAACAAAGGGTGATTTTTTAAGAGCTATTGGTAAATTAAAAAAAAACACATAAAATTCAGAAAGATTCATTAAATCATTATTTTTGAATCGATATCACAGTCCAAATAATTTAAAGTTTGAAGATTATTTCACACAATTGTGACCGTGACTTCGCCTCAAATGGTTCATCCGCTTAGTCTAATTTAGGCATACTCTTTCCAACATTTCGGCTGGTATCTCACGAATAAATGCTTCAATGTTGTCCTCCAATGCGGCAATTAAAGCGGGCTTGCCTGTATAGATATTAGATTTAACATAGCTACATAAAAAATAGTCTAAAGGTGTTAAATGGCACGATCTAGGCAGTGAATTGACCGATCCCGCAAATGACCGAGCTCGCCTCTCACTAAGTCCATTGTTACGCGTGCTGTGTTGCATGTGGCACCATCTTGTTAAAACCACATGTCATAGAAGACAATCTCTTACATTTTGGGTAAAAATAAATTTGGATATGATGTCATGGAAGCGTTACGATTCGCATTATATTTGAAGAAGTACGGTCAAAAGATGATGTTTGACACTGATAGAAAACACGAAACGTGCCTCAGCTGTTTAAACCAGTGTTGTCAAAAAGTAATAGCTAAAAAAAATCACCCTTTATTTTCTCATTGGCGACCACGGCGCTAGCCGGGTCAAAACATTATTTTTGGCTGTTCTCCGAACGAGGTGTCGGCTTATAATAAACTGTAGATCACCCTATTTTTTGGAAAAACATCAAGACCCACACCAAGAGTTGAAAGAAAAGCTCAACCGCTTCAGTGGTTATATATCTTCAATCATGTATATAAATAAATATATATTGTATATACTTACCTACAAATATTGTCCTGATTAGTGAAATTATTTATATACTCGTATGTTAATGCATATTAAAGATAATGTTGTTGTTGTAACCGCAAACATATTCTCCAAAGTACTTTTTGGCCGGGTAAAAATTTGGGTCGTTCAGGTATAAAGACCCGACTGTCGCGGGAACTATTGGGTTTTTGTCGCCTCTTACGGCAGGCATGCCTTACTGCGGGTAAATTCTTGAACCCCTAACTCCTAAAGACAATCAATGCATTTAGCTGATTATTTCAATGTAGAACGTCCTAAGCTTCATATTTTTAATGTTATTGATTTACACTGAAATCTTAAAAGCAATTCAAAAATATCTTAAATTTATTTAAAAATTGTTGTTGTTGCGCAAAACAGTAAAGACCAAGACCAAATTACCAATTCATCCGCTTTTATTTACATTTAATGGTTGAGAGGGTCGAAATTAATATTTTCAAGTGCAAAAGTTTAGAAATTTCTTACCGTTATAGTTGAATGTTGAGTTACAGCTTTCAAA